TCACGTGTCCCACGTATGCCTTCCCACTCCCCCACGTTCTGTAGCGTTAACACCCACTCGCATAGCGGTTGGTCATGGCCGAGTTTGATGTTGGGTGATTCTTGTCTACCTCATGGCCATTTATTTGGCTAAGTATTGTAGGGGTCGACGACCTCATAGTGGTAGACGGCTCATTTGAACGTAGGGGGCCTCATGGGGGTCGACGTCTTCATAGTGGTAGACGGCCTACACTGTGGTGCTCGACAGTAGTGGTAGACGGCCATCGTGGAGAAGTGTTAACACCATCTTATATCAAAAATCAAAACTTTGACGGGTCCACGTGGATGCAAACCAATGGTATCTTAGAGACGATCTCTTTGCAGGTTGATTGTTTTTGCTTAAACCCCCTACTTTTAAGTTATAAAAAGTTATATTCATGAAGCTTTAAATTTTCTCTTGATATGTTCATGATCTTCTTAAATAATTATCCGACATGCTATGTTGCCTGAGGGTCGCTCTCGAAGATCTTTGATCTGAACCTTTACATCTGTTCGCAGACACACTCTCATAACATGAACTATGACTTCACTATGATCATTTTGGCATTGTTAAAATATTTAATCATCTTAACGGTTAAATATTTATAAATTGAATGAAATAAATTTACTTGCTCATATTAACATTTTCAAAGCTAATTTGGTCATACGTAACCAATGACACATGATTAAGAAGAAAAAAATAAATAAATTAGGTATCCATTGACTGGAAACCTTACGTGTAAGACAGAAAAAGTGTATAGACGTATTTTTTATAATCTCATTTGACCCACTAAAAGTCTTGGGTCAATTCTTTGAATGATTGGGTGAAGTCACGAGTCCCCTTTATAGACCAAGTAGTTGAGATATACTTCCAAAATTTTCATTTACTGCTCTCCTTTTAATCTTTTCGGAATGATTGGAATGTTTCGCTTTGTAAATGTGATGGGACCTCGAGAAAACATACCAGTGGTAGATAAAAAATAATATGGGATTTGTCAAAGTTGCTAAACATCTACTTGTTTAAGATGTTTCAATAGATCTGGTATAGCACGAATCGAACAGAGTCTTGAAAAAGATGTAATCGATTCGAATATATTGCAAAAACTTCATTTGTTGGAGGTGGTGTGAGATAGGGTGTTAAGTGAAGTGAGCGCTTGCAGACTCGGCTAGTGTCCAAGGCAAGCCATCGGTGCAAGTCAAGCAACTTATTCTTGTGTGAGTAGCTTGTCATAATGAGTGAAAAAAATTAATAAAAAATATTGAGGAATTGCAACGTCTCGTCCCATCGAGGGGCAAGTCGAGTCAACTATCATTGAGCGAGTCGGTTAGCAAAAGGCCCACCCCACAGTTGAGCACTAGCCAACTTGTCGGGCCCCATTGAACAACCCTAGGGTGGGGAGTTACAAATTTGAAGTGAAATAGAAGTGGATCAAACAAAATTCGAAATATATTAGTAGTTTATGATTACAAAGTTTTTCTAGGATAGAATTAGGATATACCTTTATTCTCCATATTAATACTAGAATTTAACATGTAAACATTAAGGTTGTTGCTCAATTTATTTTTATGAGATTTTTAAGAATATTCCCATTTTAAAAGGGGGCCACCTCATTTTTATTGTTCGAGTTCCAGGAATATTCCCATTTAAAAATCCGAGCTTTTCGTTTTATACGATGAAAATGCCGGCATAATCAACTAAATTGGTATAATTAACATGTAACATGTCGAAAAATTTATTTACATTTTTTATCAGATTCTTATGGCATCATGTTTTGGACTACATGTCTAGTTTTTGCATCCGACATCATATCCCGTACCCGTGGAAAAATCTTAATTTTCTATTGCCTTGGTTATACGTCATTTGCACCAAAATATGCAGCGTTAGACCTTGTCAAAATCTCGAGTAAACTATAACGCGGTTTTTGCATATTTTGTTGAAACGATGAAATGACGAACCAAACCAATAGAGTCGTGGCCTAGTGTGTCATTAGGAAGACTGGCGGGGACAATATTATAAGATATGTAACTTAATACTAAAGTTCAAAGATGACCAATTCAAAACTTGAATATTCCAGAAATAGAAAATTGAAGAAAAATCAAACGTGTAATAATATTTTGTCATATACTTGCAATAGGATCATGAATATGCGACATGCATGGTCATATCTGTATCTGTATTCTGCCTCTATATATGTATTAGATACACAGATAGCTCGAGCTGCAACACATTTCTAAAAGTACATTGTGATGTACATATCTATATTGTTGATATAACAACCACATTTTGCAGGTACATATTAAGTATATCGTGCTTTCTCTAGCTTCTTGATCAAATTTGTACTTTGTGTTACCAATTTCTTTGGTTGTGTTACTAAATCGTCTATAGGAAATCTACTTTTGAGAACTCTCTTACTGTTTTGTTCTGGGAATGGACGTTTTGAACATGTACCTTTAGATAACCTTCGTCTAGTTTTATCGTTTACAGAATAGCCCGGTAGAGAGAGATGGAGCCAGGGGTATCAACTGATGATCAATTCTCAAAGCTGCATCCCTGCTTTCCTCCGGACTCAAGGATCGCAATCGTAGGAGCAGGCCCGAGTGGATTATCTGCTGCTTATGCTCTTTGTAAACTCGGTTATTCAGATGTAACCGTGTTTGAGAAAGAACGATCTCCTGGAGGCATGTGTGAATCAGTTGATATTGAAGGTACTAATAGAAATGTAGTATGAAATTTTAGCATAAGCACATTATATTGAAGAATGAAAAAAAGAATATTCTTAATGTATACTAAGAAAAAGGCTCAAGCACGTACCGTTTATGTCTTCTTACAGGAAGGATATATGATTTGGGAGGTCAAGTCCTCGCTGCAAATAGTGCTCCTAGTGTATTTCACCTGGCAAGAGAGATTGGAGCCGAAACAGAAGAAATGGAAACTCATAAATTTGCACTCATAGACTCCTCGACCGGAGCTCTCAGAGAAATGAATCTTGTAGAAGATTATGTATCTATGATCTCTCTCACATTGAAACTCCAGGTCAGTTACGCCTTACGAAGTATATATGTTGTAGTTTTTCACCGTCAGCTCGACCATTTCTGATTTGAATTCCTTTTTCTACAGGATAAGGCAAAGGTGTCAGGTAGAATTGGGGTACACGCCGTGAGTGAAATAGCACCAGATTTAACTCCCGAATACCTCAAGGGTCAAGGCTTTCAATCTGTTCCTAGATCAGTAATTTATGGATATACTGCATCAGGCTATGGATATGTTCAAGATATGCCTTATGCTTACATTCATGAGTTCACCAGGACTTCAATGGCTGGAAAGATTCGCCGGTTTAAAGGAGGTTACATGAGTGTTTGGAAGAAACTGAGTGAATACATGCCAATAAAGTTTTTTCCCAATACCGAAGTACAATCAATAAAACGCAATTCATCCAGCATCAGAGTCGATGCTAAAAATGAGAGTGGCGATGAACAAGTTATGGAGTTCGATAAAATTATTATATCAGGTGCTTTCCCTTTCAACAACGGAAAATTTTATAGATCACCTTCTTCGAACATAACAGGTTCGTTTCATTTCACACTAATGTACAGAAAATATTCTAATATTTCAATCTGGATGATTTGATTGTTTTCTGTCTGCAGAATTCTCGAGCAATCGTATTGACATGAGTGAGCTCGAAATGGAGTTGTTTTGTAAAGTACAGACTATTGACTATTATACCACTGTCTTGAAGATAAAGGGATTGAAACATATTCCAAAGGGTTTCTATTACTTTGACAAGTTTATGGATGATCCGGCAGCTATTGGAAACCCTGTTGCAATGCAGAAATTCTACGATGACACGAATATATTTTTGTTTTGGTCTTATGGAAACTCGGCCGATATTCAGGGATCAAAAGTAGAGGAGTTGGCGATGAATGCAGTCATAAGTATGGGAGGCCAAATCGAAGAAGTGGTTTTACAACGGAGATTTAAGTACTTTCCTCATGTCAACAGTGAAGGTATGTTAAACAACTCACGTTTACAATTTTTTTCTTGCAGAGAGGTATTTCCATGTAATAATTAATAATCCAAATTCTAAAAGCAGAAATGAAGGACGGGTTTTACAATAAGCTCGAGTTTCTACTACAGGGTCAACAGAATACATACTTCGTTGGTGGGCTCATGGCATTTGAGCTGACAGAGAGGAACTCCAGCTATGCCATGGAACTCGTCCGGAAGCATTTTGCAAATAATAATCCTGTTCCGAGTTATCCATATGTCAAGGTGAGGTCAATAATAAATAAGTTTTAAGTAAAAAAGACTAATCTTATCTTAGAACCAATGGCTATTTTACTTCACTAATCGAAACTTTTGGTATTGCAGAGACTTCTGATGTTGAAGCCAAATCGTACATTAGTACCTAAGCAATTAGATGAATCACCCGGTGTCCAGTTTCCTGATCTTTCTTCTCTTGATGCTTACTTGCAATACTGGGCAAGTCATAATGCAACTCAAAGCAAGACACTGTATACGTGGATCAACGAAAAGGGACACGTTGCAGCTCAAAGAACATACAAAGAACTTCACAATAATGCTTCTGAGATTTCTTACAAACTCTTGACAAGCCAAAAACCAACCATCAAGCCTGGTGACAGAGTGCTCTTGGTCTATATCCCGGGTCTCGATTTCGTTGATGCCTTCTTCGGATGTCTGAGGGCTGGAGTCATACCTGTTCCAACAATTCCTCCCGAACCATCACAGAAGGGTGGACAAGCATTACTTCATGTGGTTAATATTGCTAAAGCATGCAATGCAGTGGCAATTCTGTCAACGCTTAGTTATCACATAACAATTATGGCTGTTTCTGCAAAAAACATGGTATTTCTTAAAGGAAACAACAAATGCTCCCCGCGCTGGCCTGATCTGCCATGGTTGTATACAGATACTTATGTCAAGAAAGCTAAATTTTCCTCGTCAGGCAATGATGTATCAAAAATCTATGAACCTTCAACAGATGACTTGTGCTTTCTCCAATTTACATCAGGCTCGACAGGTGACGCCAAAGGAGTCATGATAACTCATGGTGGACTCATTCATAACGTAAAGTTAATGCGAAGAAGATACAGGAGCACATCAAACACAGTTTTAGTAAGTTGGTTACCTCAATATCATGACATGGGACTCATTGGAGGACTTTTTACAAGTATGGTGTCTGGTGGATCTGCAATTTTGTTTTCTCCGCTGACATTTATCAGGAATCCCCTCTTATGGTTGCAGACTATGAGCACATACCATGCGACTCATAGTGCTGGCCCCAATTTTGCCTTTGAACTCCTCGTTCGCAGATTAGAGTCAAGCAAATCACAAAGTTTTGATTTGTCCTCCATGATTTTTCTCATGATTGCTGCTGAACCAGTAAGAGCCACAACCCTTAGAAAATTCCTTAAGCTGACTCAATCTTTTGGACTCTCTCAAGAGGTTTTATCTCCTGGTTATGGATTAGCAGAAAACTGTGTGTATGTAAGTAGTGCATATGGAGAGGGTAAAGAGATCATGGTTGATTGGCAAGATAGGGTGTGTTGTGGTTACATTAATTCAGATGATGAAGACGTTGATATAAAAATAGTTGATCCTGAGACTGGTATTGAGCTATCTGAAAACGAAGGGGAGATAAGGCTTAGAAGTCCAAGTTCAGGAGTTGGATACTGGGGCATGGAGGAGTTAAGCGAAAAGACTTACAGAAATGAGATTTATGACCATCCCGGGAAGAAATATATGCGAACTGGAGACTTAGGACGAATAATTGATGGGAAATTATTCATCACTGGGAGAATAAAAGATCTAATCATTGTTGCTGGAAGGAATATATACTCCTCGGATATTGAAAAAACAGTCGAGATCTCATCTGAGCTTATACGACCTGGCTGCTGTGCTGCTGTTGGCGTTCCAAAAGAGATTCTTATGTCTAAAGGAATATCAGTTCAAGAAATTACTGATCAAGTTGGATTGGTAGTAATTGCGGAGGTTCGAGAAGTAAAGCCAGCTCTGAAAGAAATCATGAGACATATTCAGACATGTGTTGCTGAAGAACATGGCATTGTTGCTGCTTCGATTGTGTTGATAAAACCAAGATCCATTAGTAAGACAACATCAGGAAAAGTCAAGAGATTTGAATGTCTCAAAAAGTTTGCTGATGGAGCTTTGAATATTGTCGATCAGCTGGTTGCAGGAGAAAAATCACCAGTTCCATCCACGGAACATATATCGCAATCTCAAATCATGACAGATCGCCATTCAGTAAATTCCAATATTAACAAGAGAGATATAATCAATTTTTTGATGGTGCTTCTCTCTGAAATGACTGGAACTTCTACTGTCGAAATGTCGGCAACCGAAAGCCTTGTATCTTATGGAATTGATTCTATTGGTGTGGTTCGAGCAGCTCAAAAACTTTCAGATTTCCTCGGAGTTTCAGTTGGTGCAATAGATATTTTTACAGCAACCTGCATTGATGACTTGGCAAATTTTGCAGAGAATCTTCTAAAGAAGTCCCGTCCTCAATCAGTCGCCAGTTCAACCCATTCTACAGAGACGAAATTGAAATCAAAATCAACTTCAGCTGTTCTCAAGGCTTCTCCAACTCATAAGCTGGGTATTTGGCTGTTTCAACTCATAGCACTTGCTTATGTTTCCTTCTTGCTGATATTTCCTGCATATCTATCAGTTTCTACATTTACACATTGGATATATGCTGGCCACAATCCGATCCAGACAAGTCTCTACTTCGGCTATTTGATTTCTTTAGCGTGTGCTCCTCTTGCTTGGATACTATGCATTTTCTTGACTAACATTGCCATAGCATTCTTCGGGACTCCATTTCTGCAACCAAATTATGCATTGGTCCCTGAAATCTCGATCTGGTCCGTTGAATTTGCCAAGTGGTGGGCACTTCACAAGGTTCAAGAAGTTTCTTCGAAAGTTCTTGCAGTTCACCTGAGAGGCACTGTGTTCATCAACTACTGGTTTATGATGCTAGGAGCTAAGATTCCATCCTCTGCATTGCTTGATACAATTGACATCTCTGATCCATTTTTAGTGTCGATTGGAGAAGAAGCCGTAATTGCAGAAGGAGTACTGATTCAAAGCCATGAAGTGAAAAATGGAATCTTGAATCTATATCCTACCAGAATTGGTTCAAGATCTTCAGTGGGACCATATGCTCTAATTCAGAAAGGCGCTGTGGTCGAAGATGGAGCTGAAATTCTCGCCCTCAATTCTGGTGGAGGCAACTCTGAGGCCAAGGTTTTTAATGCTGAGAGTTTTCAAAAGGTTAGTCATAACGAAATTTTTTGTATATGCTTCACAAAAGATTTTAATTACTTCTCTCTAGAATATCGACTCATAACATGCATTTTTTTACTGAATTCACAAGCGTTGCACTTTGTTTATGTAAGACAGAATTGTCTAAACCGGAGCACAATGTACGAATAATCAGCAGGTTAAGGATCAAACGGCATTGACTAACCATTGGTTTCTCCATTTCTATGATGACCACAGGGAAAAAGGGTACAGCAAATCATCAGCAAAAAGAGTGGAAACACTGTAACGATCATTCAGCAGTTTTCTGGCATCTACATGATTGGTTTTCTCAGCAGCTTATCAGCAGCAATGTCTTATTTAATCTACCTCCAGATAATGCAAAAACCTCCCTCACTTCATCATTTTGCTTTCTTCTGTTTAGCCGGAGCCTTCCATTGGTTACCGTACACCATCATTGCATGTGCAGTTATGTTCACGAGCATCCCTTCAAATCCGATCAATTTTGCTATAGCCATAGCAATGGCATATGCCACTTATGGCCTTCTCCTCTGTTTCTTCACTTGCATCTTGAACTACTGTATTTCGGGAAAACAAGATCAGTATAAAGCACCATTCAGAGCTTTTCTTCTTCGTCAAATTATGATCGCCTGCCATGTAAGATTCGCCAAGTTTCTTACTGGAACAGAAGCTTTCTGCGCGTACTTGCGCTGTCTTGGAACAAAAGTTGGAAGTCATTGTTCAATTCGAGCCATCAATCCTGTGTCTAACCCCGAATTGATATCAGTTGCGGATGGAGTACACTTAGGGGACTTCAGCAGAATTATTCCTGGATATTACACCTCAAATGGCTATGTTCAAGGAAAGATTGAGATACAAGATAATTCAGTAGTAGGGTGTCAAAGTTTAGTCCTCCCTGGTTCTGTCCTTGAGGAAGACGTCATTCTTGGGGCACTCTCGGTAGCTCCCATAAGTTCAGTTCTTCAGAGCGGCGGTGTTTTTGTTGGGTCCCCAACTCCGGTTATGGTTAAGAATGCCTTTCATTCTTTTGATGAGAGGTTAGAGGAGATGGACATGAAGTATAAGAAGGTGCTTGGGAATCTTGCTGCAAATTTGGCTGGCACAACTCTCAAAGTAAGATCGAGATACTTTCACCGGATTGGCGCTGCTGGTAAGGGATTTCTAAGGCTCTATAACAACATACCAACCTTGCCAGATCATGAAATCTTCTCTCCCGGGAAGCAATACCCAATCTTGATCCGGCACAGTAATTGCTTAAGTTCTGATGATGATGCAAGACTCGACCCACGTGGTGCAGCAATAAGGATCCTATCAAGCAACGCTGAACAAATATCTCCACTGCTGGATCTGACCCTAAAGACGGGCAATGCATTCCATGCGCGAACTATAGGTGACTTTGCAACATGGCTCGTCTGTGGAGCTGCTGCACGAGAAGAGCATGTGAAGCATGCTCCACATATTCGCGATGCAATGTGGAGCTCCCTGAGAACAGCAGACTCTTACACAGAGCTCCATTATTATTCAAACATTTGCAGGCTCTTTAGATTCAAGGATGGACAAGAAATGTATGTCAAATTTAAGCTGAGGCCTTTCGATAGGAAGTTCGATGAGGACACTGGCAAGGTAGAACCAAGGGGTATACTTCCACCAGAAACAGGTGCAATCCCAAGAGACGAGAATGACAAGCGCCCTTTACTTTTCCTCGAGGATGATTTTCAGCATCGAGTAAATTCTCCAGAAAAGGTACGTTATGTTCTTCAATTGCAAACCCGGTCAGTCCCAGAGGATGAAATCACGCGAGAAAATGCACTTGACATCACCAAGCCATGGGATGAAACTGAGTTTCCAGTCGTTGATGTGGGAGAGGTAACCATTGATGAAGTGCTCACCAAGGAAGAATCCGAAGAGCTGGAGTTTAATCCGTTTCTCAGATGTCGTGAAGTGGACGTCATCAGGGCAACATCATGCAATCAGAGTGCGTCGATGGATCATGGCCGTTCAATAGTATATGCAATATGCCAACATCTGCGCAACAAAAAGCCTCTTCCCGAGGCTTGGAAGATGTTCTTGGATCAATCTGATGTGAAAGTCGACCTCTCTGGTTGTCCAATGGCAGCTGCATTCGAGAACAAGACTGCAAGAGAAGTGACATTGGCTAGACCTTGGTATGTAACTATGTGGCTGATGTCGGGTCAACCATTTCTACAAACTTTCCTACCTTATTTTCTGATGGGATTAGTGATATTTGCTCCTCTGAACTTCATCTTCTACGTAAATAAGATCACAATGATTAAGATGTATTGGTTGCTGCCAATCTTTTGGCTTTCTTCCGGAATTTTAGGAGGACTTGTTTGTGCTGTGAGTAAATGGATTCTCGTGGGAAGAAAGAATGAAGGTGAAGTAGAGCCGATTTGGAGTGCAGGGATATTTATGGACACTACTTGGCAGGCTATAAGGACACTAGTTGAAGAATATTTCATGGAAATGACAGGAGGATCATTTTTGTTCGGAATTTGGATGAAACTCATGGGGGCAGAAATCGCCTGGGACGAAGGAGTTTATGTAGACAGCACGGGTGCAATTTTGAATCCTGAACTGATTAGGATTGAAGAATATGGCTCTATCGAACAAGAGGCTTTGCTCTTCGGGCACATATATGAAGGTGAGGGAGGGAAAGTGAAGTACGGGAAGATTGTGGTTAGAAAAGGCGGGTTTGTGGGAAGCCGAGCAGTGGCCATGCCTGGAGTGACTGTGGACAACGGGGCAACACTCGGGGCCCTCTCGTTAGCGATGAAGGGAGAGTTTGTCATATGAGAGTGAACAAGTTGAATGTTTGTATTGTAAGAAAAGCCTATCTACAGCCTCTCAAGCTCTAAGTTAACGATTCTGAATAATACAGTAGTTTATCTTCCAATTTAATGTACCTGTGCAACTCACTTCTAGTAGATATTGGTAAAAGGACTTTTCATGTCATTTTCTGATGATGAAATGCCCCAAGCAAATCCACTGTCCAACGCAGCCCATAAAGATGGACCGTATTACGGTCTAAACAGTCTAATCCACTTTACACCTTAAAAATACCATCAATACATATAAAGGTGGAACCGGTTATTCTGCACAAGGGTTGCAAAAATAATTAAAATTAAAAAAAAATCATTGCATAATTATCAGAAAATATATTTGTAATTTAGAACCTCGCCGTCTTCTGAAATTATTATGCATTAGTACGTTTCCGGCACCCAATAATCTCCTTATAATCTTCGTTTGTTTGTTTATCATTCATTATAATCTCTTTGTAATCTAAAGGCAAAAGTCAAACTTTTATTTTAATCGCACTTTTCGTATGAACCATAACTATTATTCACTTATCTCCTATTCATTTTTATCACATTATAATTTCAACAACTTACCATGAAGCCCAAACAACTTGTCCGATATAATTATCTGAATTTCAGCTCCGTGCCATCTTTGCTTGTTCTCTCTTTTCTCATGAAATAACTCCTAAAAATTAATGAATTTAAACAGTATTTTTGGAATCAAGGAAAAATAAAGTTTCGACATCTTTGCTTGAAACCTCGAGAATAGATTTACCATACCGATGAATATCTATATCCAGCCTTCAAATTGAAGTGTAATTTTGGCTCTTCATTTATGAAAATATGTAGTATGCTTAATGAAAATTGTTTCAACCTTTATTAGAAGTTAAAAATGGTTGGGAAAAAAGCTTGAGTACCATAAATTCTCGTTGTTCAACTCTGAGGGGTTGCTCAATTGGTCAGGCCTTAGGTTTGCTCCCCCAATGGTCACCAGTTCGAGTTCCCTTAGGGCCACTGAGGTGAGTACCCGACTGTAAACTTCAGGGCCCCGTGGAATTAGTCGAGGTGCGCGCACTGGCCCGGACATCCACGGTTATCAAAAAAAAAAAAAAAATTCTCGTTGTTCATACTTGTTTCCAATATTATTAAGAGAATAATTCAAAGAACCTGCCTTACAGAAAATACTGCGTAAACATATGCCAAAAATTAATAAGAGCATGTTTGGGCTCCATTGTGAGCAAATTTTAATAAAAAATACTGTCGATATACAATCATGTGGACCTAACTGTTGCAGTCATTATTTACTGCTTTTTACAAATCAATTAAAGTAAATTAAGGAAAAAATTATTGCGCCCCTTAATTTTTTTCATTTAATCTGTTTAAGCGGGCATTTTTGGGATTTTGAAATAGGAAAATACGACTAATTTTTGGTTTGTAAATGATCGCAGCTGGAGCTGGGTCTTCTTCACTTTTCATAATGGTCGGATACTAAGAACATATCTGGTAAGGATTATTTTCAGATTTTAAGTATTAATGTTACCATTAAAGTCCATTGGTTGACCCCCCCTTCTCTCACAAGCTGTCAAAAAAGGCTGCTGAAATGATATGTAATGGCCACAAAAATGATTTTAATTGGGTAAAAAGTTTCACCAGACATGCTCTAAGTTAGAACATCACCCTTTTCTTACAAAGAGTTCTCAAAACAATGTTGAACCTTAATATCTCCAAATCACAGTCTACTCATCAAATCCTACTTCCAAATTACAAGCCCTTTATCTTAGGTGGACAAAACGCTTATTTTGCAGTCATTCCCAAGTTTACGTCCTTAAGAAAACGTGAAAATGTTTGTGTTGGACAAGCGATTAGCGCGATAAAGGCGGTCAAAACCTTGATTGAGAAGTCGACCACCACCAATGTTACTGCAGTCATTACTGTCCATGAAACCGTGGGTGGACTTCTCACTCACACAGGGTTGGACCTCGAGCTCGATATTATAACTGACGTCCTTTGCAGAACCCTCCTTATAAGGCTTGATGCTGCAGATGTTGACCCTAGTAAGTAAATACACTATTATGGAAAGGATACAAAGAACGTGATATCCTTCGACGTTATCCAATTTAGCCGCGTAATTGCACGAGGTAAACGGTCCATCATGATCATTGACCCTTTGATTTCCCGCAAGTAAATAAGATCGTGAACAACTAATAAAGTAGTGAATAGAGTATCGAACCCACGAGAACTATGTGTTTGATCGAGTTAAAATTAATTGCAACTTTAACCGAATAGCAAACAAATTTTTTGATTTTTTATACCAAGTCCTAAATTATCAATGAAATTAATGGAAGTAAGTAAATGTGTTTTTTAAATATGTGAGATGCATTGCTAATATGTCGAATCCTCCTTATTATTTCATTTTTAGTATAATAATTAAAGTGATATTTTGAAGTCATTCATGTTGGTCAATATTCCTAATTTAATTGAAAGCATCTCTCAATAGCGATCAAATACATTCCCTCTCAATGAAAGATACAAACATGATAAATCCATTAACAAGTACTAGAACACTTATTGAAACCATATAAAGTATAGAGATATATCTCTATCCTCTATCAAAAACCTTACAATATTTATTATATTGTACTTAAATCATATTGTCTATTTCGATAATAATAAAATTCACTAATAATTCAATTTGTAATCAAATAATTGAAAAGAACGATAAAAAGGATAATAAATATCCACAAATCAAACTAAATTAAATTCAAAATAATAAATTAAGAACTAAAAATATCATAACCAGGGTTCATCTCATCCTAACAATATATAAAATTAACCTAGCATATTGGAATTACAAGAAATCATGTTAAATGTATAGAACGTCATCCAAAATTATGAATTAATAAATGAAGGAATCTTGATGTTCTTGGATTTCTTTAAAGTAATCTTGATAAATCTTCAATAATTCTTTCGTTTCTTTGCCCACAAATCACAAGTTTAATCTCTAATTCATGAGTTCTTGAATTTTGCCTTTCAAATCTTCTCACAATATATGATTTTATCCATCTTTGATGATGAAAAATGATGGAATATTGTAGTATGAGATGTATGTGAGAGGTTTCTAATATGTATTATGTTGTTAGGTATTTGTTGGAGTAGAAAATTAGTTGAAAATCACGATCAAATTGATTTCCAAAAAAGTTACAATCGAATAAAGAAAGTTGTCTTACAGTCCCCGCACATGTTTTTTTTTCCTCTCTGCACAATCATTAATATTTTGGTCATAACTTTTTTTCCCAATATCCAATTGAGGTTATTTGAAGTGTGTTGAAAATATAACTCAAATGGATACAACTTTGCTAGAAATAGAACTTTTCCAATTCGAATGTTTGTTATGCCAAAAATGGGTCTCAATTTTTAACTAAAAATCTGGAATATAATTTGTGCGATTGAAAATTGATTTGTGATAATATTTTGATTATATTCCATTCACATTTCTCTTCTAATTGTATCCAATTGTCTCCTAACAATCTTCAAACTATCGTCTTGTGGTTCGAATCAACTATTGGATATTTTCAATTTGATCCTCAAAATTTGAACTTCGCACTTTTCCTTGATCTTTCATTTGTTTCTTCCAATTATTAGTTCAACCTTTAAAATTTACCTCTATAACATAAAATACAATAATTTAAATTATATTTTTTAAAAGAACTACCAAATATCGATATTTTCGGCCCGAATAAGTGTATAAAATACACTTATCAATCATATTACATCGAAGGCCTTTCGAGCAAATGTCTCCACATCGACAAGTAATATTCGCATGTTGATCGCATATATCAATTACTAACATTGGAATCACCTCTCGACCTTGAGAAATACTTATCTAGATCGTTAATTGTTGACTTTGTCTTATATTAAAATTTAGATTTTAATCCGTACCAAAAATGGGCTATTCATTTCTACCTCTGTATGTGTAATTACTAAGAAGAAAATTTACTTAATAAAAATAAACCTTTCAACGCCAGCCCATTAGAAAAAATTACATTCTAACTTGGTATGTGAAATTTTGAGCGTGCAATCATATTTGCTAGAATAATTCTTCTTGTACCGGGGGAGTATACAACCCCCTTGACCGGCCCCCTCACAATAGGGGGGGCGGCCACATTTGGGGGGGTATACAACCCCCCTGACCTGCCCCCTCACAATAGGAGGGGCCCACATTTTGTGGGCCCCCCTATTGTGAGGGGGCCGGTCAGGGGGGTTGTATACCCCCCCGGTACAAATAGCAGCTCTCTATTTGCTATCTCACACACCAAATGGGCTAAAAGGTTACCGACAAAAAGAGCTCTGAATTCTGCGAGGACCTGGTATCACCTCAGGAAAAAGAATGCCCTTCCAAAGGATTACGATGTATATAATGATCTCGGGAATCTTGAGAAGAGTGACGATTTGGCAAGGCCAGTTCTTAGTGGCAAGTTACGTTCGTATCCTCTACGGTGTAGAACTGGTCGAGCAAAAATCAAGAAGAGTATTTCAGCTGCTAAGTTACAATGTAACTTGCTTATTTATATTCATGAATGATTTACTGAGCACCGGTGACATATTATAGACATCCATTGGTGGATAAACTTATGTAAGTCTCAACATTTGAATTTATCCACTAATGGATGTACATAACACGTCACCGGTGCTTAACATAGGATGAACACCGGTGCTCAGTAGATCATTCCTGATTTATATTACTTAGTTATTTTCTTATAAGTAACTTTTGAAGCTTAGCCAAATGTGTTCCACTTGTGCAGATTTGGAGTCGAGGAGCTAGAATGTATATGTGCCAAGAGACGAGGCATTTTCAGAAGTGAAGCAGATGACATTTTTCGTTAAAACGATGTACTCAGTGCTTCATTCTTTGATCCCAAGGATAGATTAGAGAGTTCTGGAGATAGTGAACTTCCATTTCCTAACTTCACCTCAATAAAGACTCTGTTCAATGAAGGA